AACTTCTCTCTCCCTTGATTTCATCTCACCACAAACTTTCCAGTTTCCACCTTTCTGGCCTCTCCTCTTAAATTTAATGTTGCTTCCACTAGGCTTGATCTCCCTTTTTCCTTCTTACTAACAAATGAATATGCGATGCGTGGCTGATGGTCGTTGCAATTTGCAAAGGCCTGACCTGAAATGTCTTTTCTCAGAGTCACCATGCCCCATATCCAAACCCTATGAATTTTGAGATTCATATCTATGAGCCATATTTACAGTTTTATTCATTCAAAATGAATAGGAAGGTTGCCAATTTTACGAATGTTTGTGGGTGCATTGTCAACATTGTTTACGAAGCACTGCATTTGCAGTGCTTCTTGTCACTGGTGTCTCTTTGCTTGCTGATGTTGTTGATTGTTGTATTGCACTTCATCAAGGATCAAAGTAGAAGGGTGCACTATAGACCCTGATTGTTTTATTTAGGGTCTCCTGCATTATTGCATTTCCTAACCGATCTTTTTGAAAATTTATTGCATATGGTAGCCATTCTTTTTTTTTCAAAAGTTTTTTTGAGAAGCCAAATGAAACCAGAATAGATATCACATATAATATGTTGGCTTGGGACCAATTGTATCATGTTTATGGGACCAATCCACGTTCTAGCCCATGAATAAGTTTCTTTTTCTATCAGATTCGCTGATTGGCTTTGATTGCAGAAAAATATCATCTGATTTATCTGCTGCCCAAAGTTTATAACTAAATCTCACAGGCTAGTCACATATGTGTTGTAGTATAATGTGGCCATGTCGACCACAGTTGATTTTCTTCTCTGTCGATTGTCATTGCTTTCACATTTGGTGATTACTGTTGCTACAATGACTATTCTTGATAGGTGAGCAGAATTGCTAGTGGCTGCGTCATCTGAGTTATCTGAATCTCAGTATGTTTTGTTTGTTGCTGCTTCTATGAAAGGTTCAGTAGCAAATAATTTGATCTTCGTGTTATTCTTCTCTTGAAATCTCAATTATTTCAAGGGACAATCTGCCAAAAATACAATTAAAAAAAGTGACTCAGGATGAAAAATCATAAAGTAGTGTTCAACATACCTACTTCCAAATATTTAAACTTTCAGGATATATACTCCTAACAGCTCTAAAGATAATAGTTCACTAATAAATAACAGAAAAACTGTAGATCTAAGATCTAGATAAATAATTTCTAAATACCAAAAAGTTTTTGAAATACAATGTGTAACTATATCACAAAGAAATCTACTGGGAAAATGAGATGACCGGAATCCTTACACTACTGCCGACTCGGCACTCGGCAGTAGTGTAAATGGAACCGCTAATGTAATGGAACCGCTGTAAAAATAAAAATAATGTAATTTAATGTAATGGATACATATAATGTAATGGATAAATATATAATGTAATGTAATGGATAATTAAAATTATGTAATGTAATGGAACTGCTCGGCACTGAGTGCCGAGCAGTTCCATCTGGAACCAGACAGAATATTTCATGATCTAAATGACTTTAGAAACATTGTTACTATGTGTCTCTAGTGGGTGAGACAAACTCGTTGTCTGCTTATGGATTTAGAGGTAACTATCTAAGTGAAAGGATAATGAAACAATTTCTCAATAAAATTAATTAAGTGATTAATTAATTTAAGATAATTAATTAAACAAAATTAATCAACACAGTGACTGAATTATGAAACAAACTCTATGGGTATTAATAATAATAATAGCAGTTTCAGCGTCTATTAGGCCATAGGCCTGTTGCAGATTCTTCACATCGCAGAACATTCACAGCTTGTTGCGGTCTTGAACTCGCAACTCACTGCTCCAATTCTGCTGTGCTTAACCGCCTGGCCTCCTTGCCGATTCTGACCAGAAACTGGCACACAGAGCTGGGATTGAACCTGTGCCTCTCTAGTGCATCAATCTCGACACTCTGAACTTTAACCATTGGGAACCACTAATAAAGTAATGTGTGGATTGCAAATGTGTATTGGATTCTAACAGGGTACTAGAAATTAGAGCATGGGCAGGTGGAAGTAGTTTGTGTGCCAGTTAACTGAAAAGCATAACTAAAATTAATTGACGGAAATTAAATTGGCAACACTCATGACAATGCTTTGGAACATGAGAAATATTTTAATGTAATTTAACCACTCATGGCCATCATGGCAATTAAGATGATAAACATGCTTGAAGCATAGATTAGTGGAACAGGAAACGGAATCATAGTTAATGAAGGTGCAATGAACAAATCAAGATTTCAAGGTTAAAACTCTGAACTTAATGACTGTAGATAATTAACTGAACAAATAATATAACTTGACTAAAAATGTTAATGAAACATATCGGCACTTTAGAAAAGCATTACAAACCTGGGACAGCATAGCTGGTACAGACTAAATAAACACATAATACAAGCACATAACAAAATGCACATTCAGAAAAACCTTGTAATGACAACAGTTAAATAAAGAACCGAAAGTCTCTATTGAAAATTGTGAAAATGAAGCTTAAGTAATAAAAATTTAAGCAAGACAGAGATGCTCAGACACTTAGCATCATCATCTTATCATTAGCCTGAAGGGACAACAACAGCAGTCAACTCACCTAGGCAATAGTCCTAACAAGCAATAATAGCCTTCTGACTTCCCAATTGATCAGACAAATTACCACAGCTTCACATCAAGGCAATGACACTGGTAATGGAAAATAAATTGATGCTGGAACGAGATAAGAGAAAACATGGCAATGTTAATAATGAATACATCAGAGATAGGTAAAAATCAGCTAAATGGGAGAAGGCAGTAAGGGATGTTCTAAAATCTAGCTTAATTATGCTCCCTGCAACAACATTATATCACGTAATACCATCTACAGAACTAAACGTACTCTCTTCATCAATAAAATTCTGCTTCTGACTTATAAATAATATATTTTTAGAACGAACTACTTACCTTTCTCTGCAATGATGTCAAGCTCTTCTGTCTGACACCTGGTACTTACAATCTTTTAATGTTAACTGAGCAGGGAGTATTCAGTGCAGCAGAACCAAACGTTGCCAGAACACATCCAAGATGTGTATCAAACCTACGCATCCACTAGTATATTGACTTGACCTTAAAATTTTATTCGGAATCAATTTTTTCTGCTGGTTCCAAATGGAACTGCTTGGCATTAATGGGTTAATCTTATGTATGATAATGCAGGTATACACTATCCATGTTACTTACTGCTACTGGTAATTATAAAACTTGCAAAGGAAAGCTAGGAAGTGCAACCAGAGCCTCTTGTTTGCCACTATTATCCAAAATGAATACAGTACATATACTGTTTTTACTGTGTGTGTGTACCTGTTAACTTAACAAGTTAGAAGTAACTAATGTAACATATCTATGCAGAGTGCAAACTATGCTCAAGTTTCTGAGTTTTGGATACTGAATAAAGTTTTCCTACTGTTCTTGGATCCACAATTATTGCAGGATATTCTTGCTAGGTGAATTATCTTCCATCAAGCATTCAAGTGCTCAATTACCATCAATAGAAGTGCAGGATATACCCGTAAGATTCCAACTCTAAAGTTATTGAAAATGTCACTTGGGAGATACAAGATTCTAGTAATAAGTTGGAGTTTCCAGTATCTGCCTGTTTATTTATATTACTCTAGTAACATGGGGTCATGCTGGCCGCAACTAAAGCTTTCCTGCCATTTTTATAGCTGCCAGATTCCCTCATGATGAATAACCTCATCTGTAATAGTAATAGTTAGGGCTGGGTTGGCCCATGAGATTCCAAATGCATTGAAATGGTCACTTATGAGCTGTGCAATTTCGCTCATAACTAGGAAAATTCCAATCTAGCAGTCATGGGCACATTCACACATGGTCACATAGGTACCTTTTTTTTAGTTTAAAATTTATTCAAAGCAAGTTGATGAAGTCAATATATATCTCTCTCAATGATGATGGTTATGATTACTAGGTATAAATAATGATATGGCATATCTGATAAGGTTATTAATGTATCCTCCAGGCAGCTGATAAGTCTGCTGCTTGCTAAGGGCGTGGCCCAAACCGACATTTTGGTTCTCACCGACGGTCATCTATACCGTCAGCCGGGGCAACCCGGGACTGGCGGGTCAACTCGGGACGCACCTCTGACACGTCGTAAAACAGTCATAGTAGCGAAACTAATTGGAATATTGCTAAACTAAATATAGTGGCCTAAACAACAACATTTTTCCTATCTATGTAGTATAAAGGAAAACGGTAATTAATGTTTATGGTAATATCATATCAATGAAGGAAAAACTAGTAAAAGTCACAGAAAATGTCATTTATTCTACCTCTACATTGTCTACAATGAAAGAGGAGGACTTCAGAGTACTGTTAGTAATGGATGAGTACGCTCTGCATGCTTCAAATGTTTTAAAATGAAGTTTTATTCCCAGTGTCCCGAATTGCCCCGTTCGACGGGGCTACTCGGGACACTCTTTTTTTGCTTCTGGCACCTTACGAATAGCATATGGAATTTTTTTGAAGATGCCATTCGATAGCCCTCGCAAAGAGCTATAAAATGAGCCTAAACTTGTTTATGAAATGTTTCATCGTAAGAAGTTATTAACAAAAAACGCTCAAAACCGTCCCGAGTAGCCCCGGTTGACGGTATACATGATGAAGTCATGCCCCAAAAATCTTACGACTTCTACGTAATATCACTTGCTCATTTTGTTGAATTTAAAATTTAGTAGCTCAAATAAGCTGTTACGTTTTTAACAATTGCAAAAAACTCCCATTTTAAATATAGTAAAGGATGAAACTTCATTTGAACCATAATGGGAATGTGAAATTTGAACTTCATTTCATGAGTTGAAATTGGTCCTCAAATTTACAAATATAGGTAGTTAATTTTTTTTCAAATTCATGTATCAAAAATGGTGATTGATTCAATTGATTTCTCTAACTTTGTATCTACTTGGTATATTTTTTGAGTTGCATATCATTTTCATGCAAGGCCAAGAGAAAGCTACCTATCACCCTTGGACTAGATGTCAATTTTGCAGCCTGACATTTCTCTGGTATTATTGTTATCATTATTTTTTTGATTGTTCATGCCCAGCAGCCCAAGTATGAGTAGACAGGCATTACAAGGTAGATAAACTAATTTTCTAATACTGGGTCAAATAGAGAGTACAATTTTCCCATTTCAGCAGAAAATTTGAAATTAAGTCTGAATATGACTAGTGAAGCACTAAAAAAGGTGAGCATAATTGCAAGTTAAAGAAGGAAGAATTTTATTATTTTCTGCACAGTTTAAATTTTCACTATAAATCAATTATAAAGCAAAAAATTTTTTTTGGTCACTTACAATTTTACTCCAAACAAATTTTTTATGATTTGAAAGTCCCTCCATTGGGGATGCATATAGCTAGTTCCTTATGACATCATAATTAAATTTTTTATTCAAATTTATATTTGAATATATTTATTTCTGCAGATCACAAGACGAGAGCCTGTAGCTACCAGCCAGCTGGTGGAGCTGCTAGCCTCAAACAACCCTGAGGTGAAGATCCTTACAGCTGACTATGTGGCACATATGCATTCAACCAGGTGAGAATTTTCATTCATCCAACTGAATTCAGTAACAAATTAATTCTCTGATTAGTCAATACATGGTCTAGACTCCAGAATTTAGTAGTCTTTGGCTTATGTGTTTTCCTCACCATAAAATACCTAATCAAACAATTGTGTATTTAATGCTATTTGTTTGATACTAAGATTAGCAACTGTTGTTTTTATAGCAATGACATACATACGTATTAAAAACTGCTTATTTGATTTTAATTTACACAGGATTGAACTGTCTTGACTTTTGACTCAGATTTGGTACCGTAAAATGGGGTAACTTTGACCACTTTTTTTTTCAAAATGATGCCATTTTTTTACTAGATAAGTTAAACTTAAATTGAAACATGCAAAATACAGGTCTATACTCTAGCTTTACTCACCATAAATTGCTGGCTCCTGCCTCTCATAGTTTTGATGTAATTTAAAAAAAAGTGATGGTCTTTGTTACCCCAGCTCTTGGGGTTTCTTTGACCGGGTGGTAAAATCAATGTTATTTTTTAGTAAAATAACTCCAAATAACTCCAGGTTGTGGTGCATTGTAGTAGAACTCTTCTAGTTAAAAAAATAAAAAAATTGGAGGGGGTACTCCGACAGGCTTTAAATAATACCGGTAGCTCTTTTTTGTGGGTCACATTTATAATTTTTTAACCTATTAGATATGCAAACTTTTTAAATCTTTCTATTGTGTTACGTAGCCTCAGTATTAGGCCTTTGATGGCCATTGACAAAATGTTTCCATGTCAAATCGTTTTTGAGTTTTGGAGGTTTTTGTTAAAAAAACGAAAAGTGGTCAAAGTTACCCCGCCGGTCAAAGTAACCCCAGTTTACGGTACCTATATTGAATGTACAGTTCACTCAGGTTTGATGAGTTGAATAACTTCATTTTATAGATTGAGAAATGGTCAAGATGAATCTCTATTAAAAAAATATAACATGATGAAAAATGTCTGATTTTTCTCCACCATAATTTTTGATATTATTCTCCAACCAACCTTGTGGAGTGATTTATTTGATTAAAAAAATATGGTGGAGCAAATGATGTCCTTTTCTACTGGATCATGCATAAAGTAGTCTGTGAAGTCTAATATAAGTATCCTATATGCCACTAAGCGAAGATTTTTTATAACTAAACTGATAACAAACCACTGAAACTCCTTTTCTTGTTGTCCAGTGGCTGGGAGGATCTGGGTTTGCTGGTCACTAAGTATCCTATATGCCACTAAGCAAAGATTTTTTATAACTAAACTGATAACAAACCACTGAAACTCCTTTTCTTGTTGTCCAGTGGCTGGGAGGATCTGGGTTTGCTGGTCACTAAGTATCCTATATGCCACTAAGCGAAGATTTTTTGTATCTAAACTGATAACAAACCACTGAAACTCTTTTTCTTGTTGTCCAGTGGCTGGGAGGACCTGGGTTTGCTGGTCACAAACCTGTTATCTCGAGACTGTCACGACGCTAACCCTGCAGTTGCGGGCAGCGCCGTGAGTGCTCTTGCCGTGCTGCAAACAGCGCAGGAGGAGGCCCTGGCTGCCATACTCCATTGTCTCGACAGCCCTCACGCCAAGGTAATGTGGCATAGGTACATTGTCAAAAGTTCATTGGTATATAGTTAGCTTCTGACGCTTATGAACTTTGCAGTATATCTAACTTTAAATTTGTTTACAAGTAACTAGGTAAGTTTTTGTGTATTATCCATCCCCACTTCTGTTATGTCTCAGTGATTTTACTAATTCCCTTTTCATGTATGAAGAAATTGGTCACCAAGATTTTGAATCCATGTCACAAATACGTGACATTTTGCAAGGTAAAAATAAATTTTAAAATAACTATAAGAAATAAATACCCGAAAATAACTGAAAGACTTGTGGAATCGGAACAAAATGCAATAATTTTCAACACAATTGAGTTCAGTGACATCGCGATGTGCATTTCTGTATGAATCATCTTCTAATTTCTGTTCTAAATCTTTCTCTTAGTTGTGACACGTGACACATTTTGCTACGATTCTGTCAAGATTAAAATATCAATGTTTTAAATGACCCTACATTTTGGAAAAGACTTTCAATGAAAATGACTATCAACAAATTGGTCTTTCTATTGCCTAAATTATGAGGCTCAATCGTTTATTTATGACTCTAGGTACGGCAGTGTGCAGCGGCTGCAAGTTTGTCGTATTCCAAGACTCACCCTGACGTCGTGGTGAGCTGTGGTCTGTCCGACCGTCTTTACTCAAGCCTGCGAGACCGAGACCCTGTAGTGGTCGCCCGTTGTCTGGTGGCCTTGGACCACATACTAGCGTCTGAGGGCGGCGTGGTCATCAACAAGTCCATCGCTCACTACCTTCTCTTCAAAAGATTAAATGATTTTTCTGACGCAACTCTTGAAACAGTGCTTAAATTTCTAAGGAAGTACAACCCGAAAGATGATAAGGAACGTTTTGAGATGCTAAATCCTTTAGATACTTGCTTTCAGTCTGACTACCCTCCTGTATTGGTAGCAGCTTCTAACCTTTTCTTTCAATGGACTTCTCCATACCCTCATCTCAGAGCCGAGCTAGTCAAGGTGATCCAACCTGCTTTTTGTAAGATTTTCCTCAAATTAACAAGTGCTGAGACAAATATAATGCTCACTAATTTCTTTAAATCTTTAGGGAGTTGCACTAGAGAAATTTTTAACAAACACTACAAAGACTTTTTCATCAAACCTAGTGACCCTAATCACTTGAAGAAGAGCAAGTTTGAAATCATGTGTCTTATCGCGTTGCCTATCAATGCATCTGAATTCATAGAAAATGTTTACCCCTACTGCTCTGACTTCAATTGCTATGCTGATGCCATAAGTTGCCTCGGGGGCCTCGGCCAATTATGCACTAGGTCTCGAGAAAATGTGTTAGGTTTGTTATCGGATCTATTGGTAAGCTCAAGTGTTGACATTGTTGCGTCTTCTCTAGACTGTCTATTGCGAGTAGTTTCCTGTAACATGCTATTTCCTGAGAGCCTTAAAAACAGAAGCACATCGAGTGTGCTCAGTCAGCTTGCCAATCCAGACGAGCCTGAACCTCTGGCAAACCAAACTTTTGAAAATGTATGGCCAAGAGATCTAAGCTTATCTATAACTTTGAAAAACGCAATATCTCAAGCTCTTTCGCGTCCAGCAATACTTGAATGCCACCCCTGTTTAGTTTTATACGTTGTATCGACTTTAGCAACAGTTTTCGAAGACTGTTCAATAACATGTCTGGAGGCGTTGCAGGCGGAGCAGCATCGACTACCTCCCACCGCGCAGTGCTTGCTACTGACGACCGTGGCGCGGGTGTTCCTGTGTAGACCTGCTCAGTGCTACCATATGCTCGTGCGGGTGCTGAGGTCTGGTGTGGTGAGCTCCTCTGAAGAGGTTCGGGATAAAGCTTTTCTGCTGTACGCCATGTTGAAACTGGGGCCCAATGCTGCTAATCAATTATTATGTGGCACTGCACAGGAGACATAAAATTACAGTGCTCGATGCTGTTATTGGTTGTAAGGTCTCTCTATTCATTTTAATTTATATTTCAGCTTTTATTATTATCTGGAATATTAACTCGAATATAATAATTTTATTCGTTGCTCTGAATAAATAATTTTCCTGTGATGATATCTTGTGTTGTTGAATAAATCTGATGTTTGTGCTGTAATTCTAGTCTTCGCAATAAGTAAATTAAATAATTACGGGTGGTACGTTTTCATTCGACCTTTGTTTGGCAACGAGCATTTATAAATCTTAGCAATGCTGAGAAGAGGACTAGTGTTAGCTTTACAAATTTTCTATGAAGTAATTAGCATTGATCACTGTTAGAGGAAACTATTAATGTTATAGATATGCCTCCGTGACTGCGTTAGCTCCGGCATATTCGTTTCCAAGTTATTTAACAATTCTCCATCAATTTAATAATTGACCTGCAGCAATTGTCCGATTGCTGCAGGTCCTGCATTGAGTGTATCCTGGATACCAGCAGCGTAGTAGTATAGTATAGTATCTTCGGCATTGAAGAATAGGCCTGTCGCCTATTCTAGTATTTTTCTAGAATAGAATAGAATGTCGGCGTTGAAGAAATAGGCCCATGACCTGTTGCCGATTCTTGAACTTTTCGTGACTTTATTCACAAGGGATCCGGCCTTTGGAACCCGATCTTTCCATAGCTGACGATTGATTGAGATAGCTGCTGGACTTATTGCCTGGTCCGTAATTTGCTAGGCATTTTAAGACTGAACATATGTTCCTGCATAGCTTCGTGACTAGACTGGCCTTTTGATAAAATCTTTTCAAGGGACGGTAGGTTTAAAATCGTTTCTGGATTTCAGTTCTTCCGTAGGATACGAGGCATTTCAAGACAGTATATTGTCTCGGATAGCTCATGACAAACGTACGCAAACACTACTAAGTGAATTTATTAATTCTTTTTTTTTTTCTGACAATGACAACGTTTTAACTTTCAATTCATTTTTCAAATCGTAGGTGTCGATCCATCCCCAAAGATTTTTTTTTAAAGTATCTGTTTGGAATTGAACATTCCTTTAACAAAATTTACACGGGTTCCTAATTTAAGATTAGACGCTTATAGATAGATTCACCAGAAGCGAGAAAACGACGCATCAGTGTATTCATTTATAGCAACAAAGCTGGAAATTAATTCTATATTTATACATAACAGTAACTAACTGCGGAATTCTGGGTCATGTTAGAAAGCTGTGCGCTGTTAGGGAAGACGCTTCGATAGAGGAGCAGCCTGTGTCTAGAGCAGCCTTGCCAACTTGTGACTCTCCAACTCAACTTTAGTGGAACTCTCTTGATCTCTTGAGCAAGCGCAAGCTGGCTGCCTATAGACTATATTTAAGTTGCCTTGAATTTCATTCTAAAGAATTTCATCCTCATACAAGTCTTAAGTTCACCCAAAGCAATATTCTTTGTAATAGTTATACGCATATGGATGCTTCATAGCATAATTCTTCATTATAATTAAGATAACACGCGGTTGAAAGAACCGTATTTACAGTTGTAAAGGATTTTGCCGGTATTGACCCGTAAAGTTTATTATCATTTGAACCATTAATACTCTCACTGACAACGGTATGAAGTTTAAATAGATTTTCATTTGGCTCCTTTTCTCGCCTTTGCCATTGTGTCGAGATGAATAACCTGATAATCTTCATGAAAGCTCTGCGGAGCTGCTCTTTTGTGTCACTAGGAGTAGTTCCGTCTTTTAGTCCACGAGAAATGCAGTGTTTGAAGACTTCGGTCATTATTTCATCACGGAGAGTGGGGGATATTGCAGCACTGAGATTATGCAGACTGGACGGTGTTGCAAAGCAGACATTATGCAGACTGAAGGGCATTGCAGCGAAAACAATTGCAGAATGAAGGGTGTTGCAAAGAGGGGTGTTACACAAGATACATTATACAGACAGCAGACTGGAGGGCAATTCAGAAAAGATATGCAGACTTAGGAGTTAGTGGTGCTACAGGGAATATTATGCAGACTGAATTAAGGGTGTTGCTGCGAAAACATAAGAGCATATCCAGAGATGGGCAGTAGTGCGCTACATGTAGAGCCTTCCACATTTTCAGTAGCGGTAGAGGCGCTACATTTAAGGCAATGTAGCGGTAGCGCCGGCTACATATTTAAGTAGCGATACGAGGTTTTGCAACTAAAGCACTACCGCTACATTTATAGATTTGATATAGATAGATTAGATTTTACTTAATAGTATTAGTTATTATTTAGAAACCAGCATGATACATACATAATATAAATTACAGAATAAAACTGCACGAAAGATTTCGGTGTAATTTTGTCAACCTCAGCCTGTTACTAGTGTCAACATGTTGTTACTAGTTAAGTTGTTACCAGTTACCACTTACAGGTATTCTGCATGTTTCAATTTGCTTACAGTTATTTTTACACAGTTATTTTTATGTTTCACCTTCCCTACATGGATGTCTACTAATACAAATAAAAGACTGATTTTTTATATGTATATGTGGATAATTTTTGAGATTGGTAGATTAAAGTAGACATCCATGTAGGGAAGGTAAAACATAAAAATAACTGTGACTTTTATTCACTGTCTCTAACCCGTACTAGTTCGGTTAGGTTAATTGCAATAAAGTTGCATTGATATGTTTTGAAAATGTTTTCTTATCATTAAATGTTTATGAGTAAATCCCAATAGCAGAACAATAAATATGTAGAGATTTCCAATAATTTTGGCCATTGTAGCGGCTAATGTAGCGCGCTACATTTTACTGTAGCGGTAGCGCTCGCTACAATCTAGTGGGTGTAGCGGTAACGGTAGCGCCCGCTACATTTAGAGCATGTTGGGGCCTGTCACCGATTCTTGTGGTACTTTCGTGACCGGTCCTTTGACGGTTTGACCAAATGTGAGCTTGGTTTGTAGCGATCAGACTGTCAGCTGAATCTTTGAAATCAGGCCATAAAGTTTTTTTACACGCATTGAAAACGCGTACGTTCTGATGGCTAAAAATTGCATTATTCCCGAACTTAGTGCACTTTTTACCAAAGTGGACAGACTTTTTTGCTTAACACGATGTTAAGGGACTAATTTTAACAGTTATTTCTGCAATGATATATGGCTTTTTGTACTATATGCGGGTTTTCTGAGTAGTGAGTAGACCATACATGGATGTTATTAATAGATTATCGCCTTGTACGCAGCTGATTCTTTGAAAACCTGCAGAGTGCAGACTAGAAATTATTTCTTCTCCCGTGTGCAAATTAAGCTTTTCTTAAATTCCGAAATCGATCGATTGATATAATTGCAATGGCCATCGGCTTCCCGGCCAAGTGGGTGCTATTTATGCTGCCTCGAACTTCTATCGTTGCGACTAAAATTAAGTCTTTCAAAATTTTTAATCGGTCAACGCACCACATGGGTTAATACAAAAAATACGTACTGTATTTTATTAGTCTGGTTGGAGCAAAGACTTGTATAAGTGACTTTGAATTTAATTCTAAAGAAGAATTTGCTATGGAATTTCTAGATCGAACCGTCCGAATGCAGATTAGGCGACGACAACGTTAAATATGTCGGTGGATAGTTTGCCAGGCGGGAAAGTTACGCGAGTTCGCCACACTTGCACGGAGCAGTGAAGATAAGTGTCCCAGACTCGGCGAGAAGGAAGTTTAGACCTTCCAATTTTAGATACAATCTAAAGAATGTGATGAAATCTTACATTTTCTTGCAATTAATTGCAGAATTTTTTGAGCAGGCTTAATTGAAAACTGTAGCACGTGCAAGAAATTTTCCATTTAATCATTTATATCTCAGAAATATTTATTTCTGTACTGTCCCTGTTATATCCCAAACGAAGTTACCAAGCGAAATGTGTTCAATTTTAGTTGCATCACCCAAGGCGATTCTATAGGTAAATCGTTAATATAAGTTAATCTACAACTCGTTTTAAACTTCCCCCATACAAGGTACAAACACTAATGCTTATTCGAAACGCAAATCATATATCCATAATTTTATGCAAAATTTTGAAGTTAATTATTCATGTATGTTTCTTAATAAATTATTCTTTCTCTAATAAATTTTTTCTTCAATCATTGAGATTTGCAATGATTCAATAAAAAAAATAAAGATCTTATTACTGCAGTGTAAATTTCTCGGACTGGACAAAATTCTTACTCTGAGATGAATTCGCGTCGGACATGTTTCAGTTATCGAGGTCGGATCAAGCAATGTTTCATGTCAAAGTAATTTCTCGTCGCCTTCTATTTCTATTTTCATTGCTCGCTGAAAAAATGGAGCAAACAGCTCGGACTTTTGATGAGAACGCTTGCCGAGGTGGGACAAATTTTAAGCCGGGTTCAATAATCTGCAAGCGTCAAAAACAATTTGCAAATATCTTAGCGAGATTAAAACCTCGCACACACTGTAGTTACAAGGGGATTTACGGAAACTTCCTGTTTTGTCGGGCAGCCAGCCAGATGTTGTAGGACAGGGGCGTAGAGGGAGTATTTGATATGCAGAGCTGGGCAGCGCTACTTTGAAATGTAGCGCCGCTACCGCTACCGCTAAATGCTCTAAATGTAGCGGGCGCTACCACTACCGCTACATCCACTAGATTGTAACGGGCGCTACCGCTACAGTAAAATGTAGCGCGCTACATTAGCCGCTACAATGGCCAAAATTAGTGGAAATCTCATAATATTTATTGTTCTGCTATTGGGATTTACTCATAAACATTTAATGAAGATAAAACATTTTCCAAACATATCAATGCAACTTTATTGCAATTAACCTAACCGAACTAGTACGGGTTAGATACAGTAAATAAAAGTTACAGTTATTTTTATGTTTTACCTTCCCTACATGGATATCTACTTTAATCTACCAATCTCAAAAATTATCCACATATACATATAAAAAATCAGTCTTCTATTTGTATATACGTGGATTATTTTTGAGATTGGTAGATTAAAGTAGACATCCATGTAGGGAAGGTGAAACAACATAAAAATAACTGTAAGCAAAGTGAAACATGAAAAAAATACCTGTAAGTGGTAACTGGTAACA